AATAATGAGGCAGAATATCCAAAACAACATCCACCTCTAAAAGGTATAGAAGGCAAGCCCAAAATTAGTTCATTAACACTAATACGAAGAGCTCAAAAGATATGATGAGGACCTGATGAGCAGTGTCCCTCTGTGTTGCACACAAGCAATCTTGGCCAGATTGTCCAGACTTGGACACGGAGGCTGTGGTGCTTGTGAGTATGTGGATGTGAGAGGACCTCTGACCTTGCAAAACTTCAACCCTGGTAAGGTCCTAGGAGTTTCAGCCAACAAATAACTAAGACCAGTTAGTTTCAGCCAACAAATAACTAAGACCAGTTTCAGCCAACAAATGGCTAAGACCAGTTAAGATACAACCTTTCCTCTGCAGAAGCTGATAATTTCCCCAGGGAGTACATATGCTGAGATAAGATAAAGCTACCCTTCCTAGTCTTACAATATTGACTGGGCCGACTCATCCTATTAACAGATCATCACCAGGATCTTCATCCCTCTTGAGATTTTTAAAATCTCTATAGTTGTTTAGAACGTGACCTTACTTGTAATCCCCCGATCAGCTTGTGCACTGTGTGAGGATCCTATCGTGACTGCCAAACAGGCTAATACGTTCTTAATTGCTCTCATGACGAAATAAGCTGTCCATTCAGAAAGTTAATGTCTCATCTCTTCAAAATCTGTGTGTGTAGCTGTTAAGCATGCATAAGGGCAGCTGCACTGAGGGCCTTGGGATGGTGAGGCCAATATGCTGGGCTGTAAAGGTGCTGGAAAAGCAAGAGCAAGGACTGTGGGTCAGCTACACAGGGGTCCTGGTTTACTCCTTGTATCAAGGTGCCCATGGGACACCGAGGTATTACACAGGAGGATGATAAATCATCATACCAGGAAAAGCAAGCTTGCACAGATTTCATGTGAATATGTCCAGTCTTGCAAAAGAATGACTGAGAAGGGCCTTCACCGTGCTTTTTTGCACATATGCTGGGCTCCTGCAAAGGATATAAGGTAAGCGCCAGTCATTCGGTAGGGAAAAGTTATAATAAAAGAGGTAGAATTAAAGCTCAAAGAAGTAGAAGTTTAGACAAGCTCTTGAGGACGGCTTATTTCAAGTAAAGCTTTCAAAAGTGTGTGTATGTGTGTGGTGTAGAACTGTTGGCCCAAGTGAAAATGGCGTGTGTGGGCATAGCGACAGTTATATTACTTTGCTAAGTGATCAATACAAAAATAATTATTGTCCTCCCCCCTCTTTTGCTTTCTTTCACTATTTATACCCCTTGAGCAGCAGACTGCAATGGTTACTTCTCTCACCTTTAACATCTTTTTTCTACGCAAACGCTTCGGATTTTGCAGTGGGGTTAGGCATTTACACTCAGACAGTCCTTTTGCTCTCCTGACGTTGACTTATTTACTTTCCAGTTAATGTACTGAGCAGTCCTCATCTGTGCCCCGCCTCAGGTTGAATCCGACTGGTACATGATAAAGCTGATTTCAGTTGGGTGAAGACAATCAACATCTTCATCACATTGCCCCTGCCTTCTCCAGGAGAAGACCTGACCAAAGCCATTAAAAAAGTCTCTTTTATTTTCATCTGATAGAATAATAGATAGAACATAGTACCATGGGACTGACTGATTTTGCAGCAGTTTGAATATAAACGTCTATTAAGCAGTAATTGCACAAAGGCATTTTAAGTGCTTTAAAAAAAAATGAAAGTACAAATTCGCCCCTGTCCCCAGATGTCGCTTACTAACTCCCAAAACAGGCAAGCAATAATGAATCACACTTTCAGAACTTTTTTTTTAACGGTCTATGCCCTTAGATGTGCAAAAGAAAACTCACTGATGATTTTTACCAAAATGGTTGGCAGAATTGCTCCGTCATTGCTAAAACTGTAACTGCTTCTGGTCATGCTGCTTTCATCCTCCCACACTGCTATTATTATTCGGGTGCTGCCAAAATTATCAGCCCTTGGATCCTTAAAAGCATTAGCTGGAATGAGTTAGTGCCTAGAGAAACACGCAATTCAAATGAGGCCACGGAATCGATTTGGTAATGCACACTGAGAACACCCTCAGCAGTACAGAGGTGTAGAGACATTTTAGACAGCGATAGAATGGAAGGGGACAAATGCTGACTTTTATCAAGGTCAGGCAACTACTGCTAGCTATGTTGCAGCCAGAAATCCTAAAGCAAGATGATTTATCCTTCCAGATGTTGCTACTGCAGTGAAACTTGCTAGTACATGTAACAACTGCCACTGTAACCTTGTCTGGGCAAACAGCAAAGACCCAAGTGTCTGGCAATATTTGTGGTTCATAGAAAAGATTCGGCCACAGCTGTGTTTGCATGTTGTAACACCGCGAAAAAGACTGCTGATACCTTGCTGTAGTCTGAATATTGAGTTTTTTTCCATGCTCAAAATATATAACCTGAACAGGATCAGCTGTGACAGTGCTAGAAAATTATCTGCCATCTTAGCCCGTATCTCACATAATTATGTCATCTTCCTTCAGTTTCTACTTAACACCTATTGACAATATGCTGTTTATGTGAACTTTGTATTTGCTGGGTGCCATTCCTCTTCTGCAAAACAAAACCAACATTTTCTATAAATCGACGTCAATCTCTGCTGTAGTAATAACTCAGAAGTTTCACACTCCTCTCAGCAGAGGCTCTCCTGGAGTGCAATTTGCAAAGAAGCGTTTGCGTCCAAGAAACCTTTAAACCCAACAGTTGAAGTTTGGGTTCATCTCTGTCTTCCTGTACAAGATGAAAATCAAAAAACTGAAGAGCTATACTCTGTAACATTTATAACAAGGAGACACTATCAGAGGAAAACTGCAAAACACATCAGAACTGTAAAAGATGCATATCCAGTTCTCGTAAAGTCCTGAGTCCTCTTCAGGGGAATTCACCTTTTGAGATGACCACTGAAACCATTGCTCTCTAGATCTGGCATACAAGCCAATCTTTTGTCATTAAGTAAAGGGCTTGATTGGATTTTCCCCCCAGTTTCACCAGGAA